AAGTTTACCTGGGGTATTGAATATGAAAGCGTTTACTATTTGGCTTGAAGATTTCAATTGCATAGATACGTATAGAGAGGAAACTCTACACACATATACGAGACCGTATGAATTTGCATTACTGTATCTGTTACCTTTTGCACGTGTCTCACGTTGTATTTTCGAAGTGTGGTACACGAAGCAATGTACGAACATGCTACGAAACAATTAGTATACATAAACTGTAAAACCAGTATAATTGGGCATCTGAATAGTTTCGATTGCCCCCTGCGTCAAGTGACAAAACTACTGGCATACATTCGCTCATATCTCATCCAAAATTAGAATTCTCAAACCACTGAATGCTTCACGTTAACGCAAGTGTATTATATTATGCCGGTGGTTTGGGTATGTAATCTCATCCGAATCTTTGTTAGTAGGCTGGCCCGTACAATTTAGGCTAGACTGTCATTACAGGAGTATAATCTCAATGTAGTACTACAGTCATATAGTTATGACATGGTCCAGTCGAATTGCAAATATAAAGGAACAGATTGTTGTAATGAGTATTCGTTCAGCAAACGGTGTTTATACGACAGAGTTTCACTCACTTCCATGGTCAAAGTTTGGCATAGCTCTACCTTCTGGATATGCCCTCCAACAGTGTCAGACTATTGTGGTATCAATCTTATTAACTTTTACGTTGTTTATCTGACATCGACCGACCCACTTCTATAGTAAAAATACGACACTGACTTAACACACATTCAGGGACAATTTACCACATGAACTTTCTCACTTTCATGGTCAAAGTAAGACATAAAAAAATAATTCATCTTTACGGTCGAAATACGGCGGTACTTCCGTAGTTTCACAGACAAAAATACGGCATTGTCTTGCTCGGATTTACGGACTGCATATGATATTGCCTTGCTCACTTTCTAGTCAAAATGCGACATTGACTTACCTTCTGCTTCGATGCCCCACCGTACGCTCGGCAGTACGGGGTGGGCTCAACGATAGACATGTGAAGATTGTCTGCCCAAACTGCGCGCTGAGGACATCTGCTATTACGGACGAATTTAAACGAAAGTATGGTTAGCTTTATCGCGTATAACGACTGCTCTAGTGCCCAATGTGGTTGTGGTGGCCATGTTGCGCCTCTCTTGATCTATCTCTGGTTGAGTTAGTTGCTTCCGACATTGTCCCGTCCCGTATGGCGTGTTTGAGTTAGTCTTTATGTATTACAGTGGATGACATCAAACCCGAATTGAGAGGGTGGTCGTTAGACAGCAATGCTCTTTCCTTTGTGGGCACATGCCATTGCCGTCCTACTCTCGTAAACTCCGCGGCTTAACATAACCCCGTCTACCATTCTTTTGTTTCTGGCTACAATATTTATCTTATCTTTTCGTTCGCTATATATTAATCTTATCTGAAAGCGACCGCTGTCATCTGCTTACTTATTATACATGTTAGGGGCATAGTTTCTCTTCTTCAAACGATAAACTAGGCATTTTTACATTGACTCTTAAAATCTGTTGTTGTACACAATATTGATAGAGGTCTATTAAGTGTGAATTAAGTCATTAGACCTAAGTTCAGATCTCGTACTGAACAGATTAATCAACGAGAAGGATCTGATGGTTGTACGAGCCTTGGAAGCACTCAGAGATGGCGTGCGGGCCACCTTGCTGAAAGCAGCGGATGAAGTGGGTGATACAAACAGACTCAGGATAGCTGTGAGGGCAGGCCTTTTGCGGTTGGCCGCGGGGAGGCATGGTACCAACTTACAGGCAAGATATGCTTAAAGATTTATACTCAATTCCTGTTATAGTGACCATACTGTGCATTTATTTGATATATTTACACACACACACATACACACACACACACACACATATATATATATAATATCATATATAACATACATACATACAAACATACATA